AAAGACCAGCACGAGTAATCATTGGTTTTATGAAATAATGTTTTATTGTTTTAAAAATGAATATGTAATCATAGAAATTTAAAATGGTAACATTTGTTGTTTTAAATGTTTGGTCTGGTGTGTTGGTTCAAAAAGCCTCCATTTTCTATTGATAGAAAAAGGTTTGTACCAATCCTATATGATTCTTTGTACTAGTTTTAGAGGGGTGTAGCCGACCATACCTCCCTCCACTGATCAATGTCTGCTTAAGTTGGTATAAAAAGTACAAAAAGCTCATTCCATGTATAGATTCTCTGTCCACCTTCAACCACAATCATTGCTGGAAACACCAGTGCATCCACCTTCACATATAAGCAAACAATGCAGTTTACTAGAGTGTAAGATCTCACACGTGAAGGTCATACCGCCCTTGTGTTTGTAATCAGCAAGGGAACTCAGCGATATCCCCTCTAAAGCCACCCACTTATATCTAGCACTCTTATGAATAATCACCCCCAAGGTGGGAACAAGAAAATAGTGTTCCAATTGTGCAGATCATTACAACTTTTTTTAGAAACATAAAAACTAGGGATGCACCAATATATATCGTCTGCTGAAACATATCAGCCGAAAATAGCACTTTTGGCAAAAAAATGTTGCCCAAAATAGTGGTGCATCCGTGATTTCTCTCCTCCCCGCTGGGCGCTGCTCTGTGTCCCAACGGGGAGAAGAGAAACTGTCATAGGAGGCCGAGCGGTGTGGGAGGAGAGCATTGTTAGCGACCGGCGTCTCTCCTCCCCGCACCGATCAGCCTCATGCGACAGACCAGGAGAATGTCGGTGTGGGCGGTGACAGCTGTCACAGGAGGCTGAGCTCTCCTACTGCACCGCTCCACCCAGCCTCCTGTGACAGCGTGTCAGGATTGGCAAGCGGGTACAAACACTTAGTGATCGCTGAGTGTTTGTAAATACCTGAAACAGAGTATGGTTACTATATACTCAGTTATGAATGAATGGAAGTGATCTACATGTCCTCCTGTTCATTCATGATTGTGGTTATAGTAAACATACTCTGTCCTCATGTTATGAATGAACAGAAACACTCAGTATAGGAGGATTCCTGTTCATTTATAACTGGGGCTGCAGAAAAAGAGATTGAGGACTTTGTGTCCTCAATCTTTTTTTCTATTTTAAAAGGGAAATATCAGGGATCTGTTTAGACCCCTAATAATTCCCCAAAGCCCCTAAAAGAAAAAGTAAAACATTTAATAAAAACGAAATAAAAATAAAATATTGCAAAACATTTGAAAAAGAATAAAAAACATCACCTCTTAAAATCGAATCTTCCAGTCAGGTGTGACACCCACTCCCTTACACCACTGCAGCTATACCGGAGCTTGAAAATCCAGTTTTAAGAAAAGACATGCACACACGCACTATATCTCTCTATCTATATATGTTAATTAACTTTTTATACTGTGATGAATTAATTGTGTTTGTATGCGAGTTTACTCAAGAATTACTGCTGATTTACATTAATATACCATGTAGATTTTTATATTGTGCTAAATTATCATTGCTCTTTTGTTTTCTTGATGATTTGTCAAGGGATACAGGATCAGTAGAATCTGAGAACATTAGGTTGTACTACTGCCTTTAGTTGGAATTTGAGACTGGCAAAAAAAAAAGCAGCCAGCCAATAACCCCTCCCACGGACATAATGGTTACATTTTGTATTGGTGTCCTAAGAGAATAGACCTCTTTTTTTTCTTGGAGTAATGTACACATTTTTGCTAGACATTTTTAAATTTTTATCCAGATAATTTGTCTTCAGTCAAGTTTCTGCTGCACGGCTGAGCTCAGGTTGCAACTATCCTGATTAGCTATTTTTTGGTGCAGTACAGTCTTGGAGATGGTGCCCAAACTCCACCACGACGAAGATGCAGGGCAAGCCTGTAATGTGACCTTCAAGCATTGGACTCTGCTTGCAGCATTCCCCAGACACCTAGTGTATTGTTTTGACAGGTCCAGGGCCAGAGCCTCTGGTATGATCTTGATCACTGAAAAATCCCTCTGGAGTATGTCTGGAATGTGACATGTTCACTGTGTTCTGCACGTGACACTCTCCGGTACTTCCTTATCTTGCTTGTTAGTTGCAGGACACTCTCCAGGTCTGTGACTATGGCGAGTCTGGGGCTTGCCCCATATGAGCATGGCACATTGCATAATACCATTTCTCCTGCTCTCATCCTGAAAGGGTTAACTTTAAGTGTTGTGTCACTAACAGCTGTGTTGCGCGCGCACACACTCACACTGCCTCTTTTCCCCTTTCAGCGTGTAGTTTTCCACCACTGCTTTCCTCACAAGTGTCATGGGTTTACCTCAGTTCATCCTTGCTGCTGCCTAACAGTGACACGTGATCGTCTGATCACTCCAGTGTTTGTAAATAACTGGGAACACATAGTACTATGTGTCCCCAGTTATGAATGAACAGGAGGTGATTTACATCACCTCCTGTTCATTCATGAATTTCTCAATGGGGAGAAGCACTCAGTACAGAGGCTTTTACCCATTGAGAATCTGCTTGATAGTAAATATCTTACTATCAGCAGTTTGTGAATGAATGGGAAGCCTCTGTACTGAGTGCTGAGGCTGCAGAAAACGACATTGAGGACTTTGTGTCCTCAATGTCTTTTTCTATTTCATAAGGGAAATGTCAGGGGTCTGTTTAGACCCCTAATATTTCCCCAAAGCCCCCCCAACAGTAAAATAATAATTGAAAAATAAAAAAAAGTGTAAAAATGTTTTTAAAAAGCACAACCCCCCTTTCCCCCACACACATACCATACATGTGCACCATATTGTGGTGTACGCCAGGCACGTGCGCTGCAGTGCGTTGTTAGAACACATCGCAGTGCATGATTTTTTTCTTTTGTAAAAAAACATTAATTTAACTGTGGCAGCGCATGGCAAAGCTTTGTGGCGCATTGCCGTGCGTTGTGATACCTTGTGTTGTAATTAAATATACGCCTGTATCATTTTATCACAACACAAACACCAGCACAGCGCAAAAACCATTTATAACATAAATCGTTTATTTACAGTTTAGCTTTCCTTCATTTTTTTTTTAGAATCCCCTTTTCCTCAGCCTCTCATTGGTGTGACAGTATTAAAGTGTTAGGCCTCATTCAGGCGTCATTCACACCAGGGCGGAAGCGTTTTACCGTGGTTTCCACACGATTTTTGAAAGAGCATTTTTGGCTGTTAGTCTGTTTACTTTTCAGTTACATGGTTAAGGATAAGTTCCACCATTTCCAGTACGGGCTCACTCTACTGGATCTGCCAGTGCTTCCTGGGCTTTTCGCCATCAAGCATCTGTTTCTCTGATTTGCAAGGCCGCCACTTGGTCTTTTGTTTACACATTCTTCAAGTTTTACCAGGTGGATGTAAAGGTCTCTGCTTATGCAAAAGGCCCTTGGCATTTACACTGTTGTTGCTTGTGGGCTAGTTAGGGGCATTGTTTGCTGTGTTTTCCACCCCTCAAATAGGACTGCTTTGGGTCATCCTGGTGCTTGAAGATTGTACTAATACTGTGTCCCTTAATAAAATAAAAATGAATATAGGATTCTTTTACTCACCGTAAAGTCAGTTTCTTGAAGTTCATCAAGGTAAACAGGTGCCCACCCATCTGTATTTATGATCTACTGCTAATACTACTTTTCTAAAAACTAAAGCATCATGGGCGTGAGAGGGGTTATACTTGGCTGGCCAATGGCTCTTTTTGTATTCCAGTGTCCAATGCCTCCTAAAGGTGGCAGCTTAACCCAATGGTCTCAGATTCTACTGATCTTGTGTTCCTTCATGGAAAACATTTAATAATCTGAACATATAAGATATAAACTAAACATGATACAGATTCTTGGTAAGCCATATTTAAGAAGTCAACCACCTATGGGAGGTTAAACATCTGTAATTACCACTGAACCTTTTTAACATCATTTGCAGGCAGCAGACTCCCACAACACTGGTTGAACCAAGCACAGTGGAAGTGGATTTTTTTTAAGTTGCCTCCCCTTTGGCGAGATTGAAAAGCCAGAACAGGGAAGGTGTGGGAATTTTAAAAAAGGGCAGAACAGAAGAATGTTCTGCCCACAGTAAAGTTACATATCAGGTTTAACTCTTCATTATCACATTAACACTCAATATTTTAAGCTTAATCTTTTTTAGTTTTGGATAAAATGGGAGAAATAATCCCCCCCCTCAGGTTTTTATTGCTGTCTGTGTCCCCATCGTGGAAATTCGCCATCTCAGTTTGTCCTGATGACACAAATTGATGAAAAATCCAGAATTTTACAGTTGTTAACAGTAGGTGAGAGTTAATCTTTTATTGGGGATACCCGTTTCTAGTAACAACTGTGTAAGAGAGGATTTCTTTTTACTTCTTGTTGTGGCTCCAGGACAGAAAGTAAGGGAAATTTGTCCAATGGCACACAGACAGTAACAAAAAATACAGGGGTTGTAACCCTTCCCAAAACATTTTTTTTTTAGATTGGAGAACATGTTTTTAAAATTGCATTTAACCTTTTAGACCTTAAGTATCTAACACTGTAAAAAATTTTTGGGTATCTTCCTCCATTCTCTGCAGATGTTACTACTATGTTTGTGCATTAGAGATTTTGCTCTTAGGTTGGTGAAGCCAACAATCCTAGTTTAGAAACACAGAGTCGAGGAGTTGAGTTGAGGAACTTCACAGTGCTGGATCTTCACAACATAGCTGTATCACACAAAGCCACCCGTTCAGCCTTAAAAATGAATATTGTTGGGAGAAGGTCTCTTAAAGTAGCATTGAATTATCCTTATTTACCTACTCAGTATATAAATTAGGACATGAGTAAGACACACTGAGAAAGCATTTTCTGCATCTCAATTATGTGTGCAGCATCTGTTGTCGCGCTTGGAGAGGAGGTGCAGCCTGTATCGCGCACACTTGTGTTGTTGTATATATATTTTTTTATCTTTCAGCTCCTCACGTTCTGAACGATCTAGCGCTTGGATACAGACTGGGGTGGCTGGGGGTCGGTAAGTAGAACTAGAAAATATGCATACAGTTAGCGGGGCTTCAGTGCAATGGGTTTCATTAATAAAAAATAAAATAAAAATTTGAAAAAATTGCAACTCAGTCCCTCTCAGGTTCAGATATGCAGAATTTATGATACAGATCCAAGTGAGGAATCTGAGAACAGCATTTAACTGCCCTAGTGAACTCGCAGTCCCAAGATTTAAAATACTGGTCAAAGCAGAGTAATGAAAGATGGGCAATGGTTAACTTTTTCTCTCTGCCTTATAGCCCTACAGGTGCATGTAGTTGCATTGTGGGAAGTTCGTCTGGAGTCATCGCAATGGAAGGACCACTGAGAAGAAAAACATTACTCAAAGAAGGGAAGAAGCCAACAGTAAGAGCACAGATCCTAGCACATATTACAAATATGAATGTACTACTGGCAAACTACCACAAGGGGACACCTAAGTTTCATAAACTCCAGAAATTTTTAACAGCCTTGCAAAGTGACCACAAGAGTGCGCTTACAGTTTAGAAACTCAAGCCTGGTTATTTCAAAGCATTGCTACAAAAAAAAGACATGTTATCTATAATTAAAGTGACCTATGCCATCTCTCACTACCCGTATATAAAAGGTTGTTGTAAGCTCACTTCCTTTCCCAACTGGATGGAACTTTTATTTTATTTGCTATTGGCTGAAAACAGCCAATAGAAAAAAAATATTATTATTCCAGCCAATAGGGGAGAATGGGATTAAGGAAGCTAAAGCAAAAGTGAGTAAAGTGGCTCAATATACGGAGGTTTCACAGCTGCTATCTAGAGACTGTGTGAGAACGCAGTGATGTGCTAAGATGATCATCTCAAGGATCAGGCCAACCCTGTGTACAGTATACAGTTATGGCTTTTCTTTACTGTTCCTTCTCACAATACAAGTCTATGGGTGGGTACTCCTCTATTACAGTTTCTCATTACTGTGAATTTCCCAGAGTTGCCTTTGCTAAAGACATATATGTGTGGGTGCAATTACTTAACTACTGTATGACCATGTAACACATACAGTCATGGCCAAAAATATTGGCACCCCTGCATTTCTGTCAGATAATGCACCACTTTGTGAAGAAAATTGTTGCAATTACAAAATGTTTAGGCATTCTCATGTTTATTTCCTTTGTTTGTATTGGTATGACACAAACAAGTTGAGACAACATTATTGGCACCCTTAATTAATATTTGGTAGCACAGCCCTTGGGAAAAATAACTGAAATCAATGGCTTCCTGTAACCATCAATGAGTTTCTTACACCTCTCTGCAGGAATTTTGGACCACTCTTAGATTGAAGGGCTCCTTTTCTGAACTGCTGTTGTAAGATCTCTCCACAGGTGCTCTATGTGATTCAGATCTGGACTCCATGCTTGCCAGTCCAGTACTCTCCAGCGCTTTGTCTGAAACCATTTCAGAGTGCTTTTTAACGTGTGCTTTTTGTCATTGTCCTGTTGTAAGACCCATGACCTCTGACAGATACCCAACTTTCTGACACTGCGCCCTACATTGCACCCCAGAATTCTTTTGGTAGTCATCAGATTTCATAATGCCATGCACACAGGCCTCATTTCTTTTTCTGAAAACAGTAGAATGATGGGCTTTACCAAAAAGCGGTCATTTTGTTTCGTCTGTCCACAGCACATTTTCCAAAAGGATTTTGGCTTCCTCAGGTAAGTTTTGGCAAACTCCAATCTGGCTTTTTTATGTTTCTGTGTCAGCAGTGGGGTCCTCCTGGGTCTCCTACCATAGCATCCCTTTTCATTCAGATGGCGATGTATAGTGCGAGCTGACGCAGTTGTACCCTGTGTCTGAAGGTCAGCTTGAATTTGTCTGGAAGTTGATCGAGGGTCTTTATCCACCATTCCAACAATCCTGTGTTGCAATCTTTGATTAATTGTTCCCTTTCGTCCATGTCCAGGGAGATTAGCTACAGTGCCATGGGCTGTAAAATTCTTGACAATGTTGCGCACAGAGGACACAGGAACATAAGATCTCTGGAGATGGACTTGTAACCTTGAGATTGTCCATGCTTTTGCACAAAAACTTGGAATGCAGTTATTTCTTGCAATTTGGAGAAGGTACCAATAATTTTGTCCAGTCCATTTTTGGAGTTTTGCGTGGAATGTGTCAGATTTGGCTATTTGTTTCTCCACTTTTTTGTGTCATACCAATACAAGCAAAAGAAATAAACACAGACAGAGCTGTCACAGACACCTCTGGGTCTCATATGACTGATCAGGAGCCAGGAGAACCGATTTGTCCTGAAAAAACAAAGGCATTATTCACTTGTATACACCAAGCATTTGCAAAGATATATACAATTTTACTAACACATGCCAAAGTCGCAAAAACTGGGTTCAGACCTTAATATTTGAAGGGGTTAAGCTAATACTATCCCTCTCTGTGCACAGCTGACCTCCTGGACACGTTACTGGGTGACCCTCACGGGGTCTACACTTCTGTACTTCGGGGCCAAGTCTTTACGGGGTAATGAAAGGAAAAATGTGAGTATTTATTGCTAAGAGTAACCTGTCTTTAAATCTTTGGTTCATCATGACTATTACATATTTTTATTGCAAAGCAACAGTTTGAAAACAGAATTTCCTACCTGACCTTTCCCAGACACTTGCACAGAGCTTGAAAATCAAATGACAGGAAATCCATTATATAATACACGTAGCATCTATGAATGACCTGAAGAGCATATATTTACTGCGCAAATGAGATTTTTTGTTTTTTTATATTAATGACTGTCTTGTTTTCAGTACAAGTCCACTCCCAATAAGAAGATGTCAATCCTGGGCTGGATGGTGGTATTACCAGACGATCCGGAACATCCAAGTATTTTTCAGCTTAACAACCCAGATAAAGGTAAGTCTGCTTCTCCTGTGTCTGATCTCCACATACTGGAATCTGATATATTCAACAACTTCAAATGTGTTTATTGTGTGATGACAATGACTCGCTCTGTCAGGGAGATTATGTGAAATTTATATGTTAAATGATACTTCCAAAACAGGAATATGTGCCAAACCGTTGCAGAGTGTGGAAAAGTGCTAACAATCAAAGTGAGTGAAGGCCTGTGGCCAGGACCGCAGCCTCTCTCCCTTTCTCAGATCTGTATCTCACTGTATGTAATCCTTCCTATGAAATGTAGGGGCAAGCTTATGATTGATGAGCGGTGTGCAAACATTGTACTGCTAAAAGGGTGGAGTGGAATCCCCGATCTGTAGAATCATAGACTTGCCATTAAGCTAAAGAGCTGGATTAAAACTAAACAAGGCTGACAGGGTCTTGCCTCTCCCCTACCACTATTCCCCTTTCTCTGTGCAGAAAAGTAATTTTTTATCTATATAACTGCTTTATTTTCTGATGGATTGTAAATGATTTCACATTCTGTATTTATTTCTTCTACTTGAACTACGGGTCTACAAGCCTAGAGTATTGAGCAGGAAGAGGGCACACAGACAGAATTTTGTGAATACTTGCTTTTATGATGGAGCATTGCCAATCTCCACTCCTGGGTTTGATAAAACGGAGTTTCTGTTTTTTTGTTGCCCAGGGAATGTGTACAAGTTCCAGACAAGCTCTCGATTCCATGCGATCTTGTGGCACAAACACTTGGACGACGCATGTAAGAGTGGAAGGCCGCCGGTGAGTGAGACGCAGCAGATGGTAAGAGGGACAACTTTATACCAGCTCCATCTTTTCCACTATCTGTAACTGCCTACTTCCATTAAATAACTTTAAGAAGGAGCCTATCAGGATAGAAATATGGTGGTTGCCTTTGCTAACATGTCTTTAACCTTTTCCCTGTCACTGATGTAAAATACAGTATTACGTCAAAGCAAGATCGTTTACAGCACACAGTCAGTAAGACATCGGCTGCATTTTCACAAACTAAGTTCATGGTCACATCACTAACCACAAACGTATAGTGTAAAGGTGCTTAAGAGCCTGGTACCACCATAACATTTTTAACTACTCAACAGAGATTGATCACATCTTGCTTTGGTTGGTAGCCATACCGTGGCCAATGCCCCTGATGCTGCCATCCCCAGCCCTGATCAGGAAGGAGAGCAGAGTCAAATGATGGAGATATTATTTGCAGCAATTGAACCTGAAATTTTTCATTCCTGAACACTTTTGGGTTCATGCTCCGTATTCCAGCACCAAGTTGGGCGAGTGGAGACGGGACTGTTTGTCCCTGACCTCCACATGCAGCACAGAGAGGAAGCATCAAGGATCTATTTAAATCTCTGATATCTCTGCATCAAGTAAACCTGTCCTCCACTGGAAGTGAAAATATGACTCCAGGGTCATCTGATCTCTTCATGGATCCCCAGGGAGCCATAGTCTTCTCCAATGAGGTTTCATGAATTCAGTCACATATCAGTCCCCATGTGACAGTAAAAAGAAAAGGTTATTAAAAATAGGAAAAAAAAAAAAAAAAAGTACAGTTTTAACTGTAAACGCTGCTGCCATAAAGGTTAGCCTAGTGTAATTTCACACACTCACCAGCAGCAGGATCGCAAGGCAGGACACAGTAGGGAGGTGAAACACTCACTCGCATGTTTTGCTCTCGTCAGCAGGAGGAGCAAGGCATTGCTCTCTCGCTGGTGACTTCAGGTTCTGAAGTCCTTTTGGCACCAAGGTAGCGATGTTTTCTTGCCAATTTCAGCAGCAAGACAACACATGAAAAGTAGGCGAGTAGTCGCCCTGCATTTCATAGCAGAACCAATTGCAGCATGCTGTGTTAACGCTTACGACAGCTGCATCATCTTACACCAGGAGTCCGTGGTTGCTCCAACAGTGTTCTATTTCAATGGACCGGATCGTGCGTAATCTGATGTAAATGGACACATGTCCTTTTACATCCTATTCCCCATAGACTAGCATGGGGTCTGGTAATTGCAGTTAAAAACTGTTTGGACACAGATGTCACAGCGGTGACATTCGCTCCGTACTGCTGTGATCAGGAGAGGATCCCCTCCTGATCAGCCTGTGTGAAAGGGGCTGTAATGACCCCTTCCTGTGAAGGGAAATGCCCTCCTTGACAGTAACACCGGAACAGGTGTGCCCTTTGGAACATGTTTCCTCATTAAAGGGACAGGTGACATTTAAAAAAAAAACCAATACAGACTAATGATTTTAGGCCAATTTCTTTATGATTATGAAGAACTTTAATTTAAGACTGTTTTAGAACAGTAAAACATTTTATTTGCTTTCACACAGCTATAGTGAAACTATGGATCATTTAACCTAACATTTTTCAGCAGCTAAGAAATTAGACTGAACAGGGTAAAAATATCTATAAAATGTGACAAAATCGCCTGGCAATATGTGATTTATGTACTGATAATTCTCTGCTGTCAATAGAATTGTCAGTTACCCCAGTAAGACCCTGATTCACAAGGTGTTATTGGAACAGAAAGTAAGGGCAGATTTCCCCAATTTGGACACTGGAAAAATAAAACTTCCCAAAAACGGGAAGTACTGAACCATTTCAGGTTTTATTGATAGGTTGTCCCTTTTAGAGGGATCATAAAATCCAGTGCATTCCTTACAGCATTAAAACTATTTGCAAATGGGCGCTATATTGAATAAACAACAGATAGTGCCACCACCAGGCACAGAATCAAAGTATTGGGATGTCACTAGCACGCCAAAATTAACAAAGCGGCAGCATTTGTTACAAACTTCTTAATGCGATCATTCGGGACCACAATGAAACCTTTTATCATTCATCTTTGGTTGCTAATAAAAGGGGTCCTTTGCAGCCCCAAAACATCACATTACAAGTTTGACAATAAATGCCCCTGCTTTGTTAATGTTACAGACATTTCCACTCCCGGCCTGTGTTGCCGACTCCCTGTCGCTCCTCGGCACATAAAAGGTAGAAGTTCTAACTATTTTCCACTCTGCTTTGTAAAGTTTTGATTGCAGTTTATGTGTCTATTTGACAGGTTCCCCTCACTTCCTTTTCCTGTGACAGTCGGACAGAAAAATTGGAAATCTCCATGGGGTGGAAGGGAGGGGGCGAATTGGCCACTACAGTAAAAAATTCTAGACTATCCTTAAATTTAAAATAACATTTTGACCAGAGTTTGGCTTAAAAAATAAGATTCAGTTTTAGCTGCAACCTGATCTGTAAGATAACTAATGATGTTTGTCTTGTATTGTTTTCCAGGCACCCACCAATCTCATGTCTTTTGAGTGACCATGACAGCCTGTTTCACAGCTTAAAGTGCCAAAAACCAGAAAAAAGACATTGAAAGTAAGAAAAACCAGAAGCACTTTTCTACTGAAAGTTCCTGGAGTTCTGAACAAGGTTCTAAAGGAAAATGTCATACTTCTGTGGAGCCAGAACAGACTGCACATATGAGAACAAAAAGGTCTCACCTAACTGTATTGAATACACCAGTGGTTGATGAAAACTATGGTTATCAGAAGACACAGACGTACATTAAATGACACCGCGGCGTCCTACTTTTTGCCTACTGGTTTTATAAACAATTAATTTTTAAACTTGAGCTGCTTGAGTGCCAGACGATTCTATATTGACCCATGTTGGGTTTAAACTCTTTTGTGATTGGACAAAAAAAACAAAAACATTTACAGTGTTACTTACAAAAACGTGACAAAGACATGAGGAACAACAGTTTTATAACTTAAGAGCACTGAGACACTTGGTGTTGTGGCCGTCTCAAAGTTTTCAATATTAAAAAAAAAAAAAAAAAAGGGGTAAAACAA